ATTGCAAGAGGAGAACGGAAGAGAGATGCCGATGCCCATTTTCTATAGGGCGTGCCAGGGACATTCGACGTTCGCTGCTTCAATCGAAAGAATGTATGTCCCGTGCGATCCTGGCCAAGTCAGAAGTCACGGATCTCTTCTCCATATTGCAGACTTACAGACATTTTTGGAATCTACGAGTGGACATGTTCGCTTCCCGAAGAGCGACTCTGGGCTTTGTTATGCCGCAGATTGCGAGTTGTTGCGTTTGCTTCCGGCACACAATAGCCCAATTATGCTTAATCCCTTGGATTTTCCTCCGTGGCTAAGCCAACGGAGATGTGGACAGCCATTCATCCCAAGAACTCGTCTCCCATCCATGCACGCACCACCTATGGCAACGCGAGCAATGGGATATTATTGTTGTTTTTACTGGCGGAGTGCTCACCCGCATCTCATACAGAGTTTGCCCAGACGGGACCTTGGTGTCCCGGGGGGTGCCGAAATTCACAGACATCGACAAAGCCATCTCCCTTGTGAGACAGGCAGATCAGATGCGCTGGACGGTGCTCTTCGACCGCGATTTGTCTTCGTACGAGGTCACCTTCGACAGCGATTCGGTTATTGCCTGGGTTAATACAGACGAGAGAATAATCATTGATTGGAATCAGAGGCCAATATTGGAGACCGCGATCCAAGATCGAATTATATCTGTCCCGTGGGAGGATGATGGGGGATTCCGTTGTTTCCGTTACCACTGGGTGCGGACAGGTTTTGCCAATTGTCCTGTCTGCAATTGTTAAGTCAAATATAAATACATGGTCACGCACGATTACATGGCCCAGACATGGAAGCGCATAATTATCCCGCAGCCCCTTGAGGCACACGGTATCTACATAACAGTGGACCAGGAAGCAACTCTATCATGGAATCCCCACGAATATATGGAAGCGCGGATGAAGAGACAAGGGAGAGCCTCTGCCAATGTTACGAGAAACGTCAACAACAACAATCAGCAGGAGCGAAAATGGGCCTCCGGGCAATTTGCTACAATGGCGGCCGCTGGCACGATATTTGGCAGCAGCCAGCCTGGAAACTTTCCAGCTTGGACCCCAGAACACGTCGAGGCTCAGCCTCCGGCGCGACATGCTCCTTTCTTCCAATATTTGAGGCCTTTGGTCAAGAGATTTATATCGTGGCTTGAATATTCGGCCAAAAACGTAAGGAGACAAACCCAGCCCATTGATAAATGGTGGCCGAGGTTGTGGGCAACTGAGTTTGACCAATGCTCTCGCCCGAGATCCTGCCCAGCCTTACAGGCATTTCACTTGCCTGATGAACAGGATGACTTAGTCACTCCTCGAATCGGCTGGGAAAGATGGTTCGACAACATGACTAGAGCCGGCATCTTCGTTCTTACACTTGCTACAGTAGATGACGCGGTAGAGTTTGGCAGATCTTGGTTCGGCGCATTGCCTGAGGAAAATGGAAACAACGCCGACAGTGCCAACCCTCCTGCGAGGTTACCCGTCGCCTGGGAGAACAATTTTAGGCGAGGCTGACTCGCAGTTCTCAGTCTGTTTCAAGACGGATTAGCATGTGTCGGGACCATCGCCTTATTGTCCCCGTATTGCGACATGCCACCGGCGCAGCCGCGATGGCGCGCGAACTATCACAAATTGATCTGGACCTCAAAGCGACCAGCGGGCCGAAGGCCGCGTTGATAACTGATGGATATTTCACTCTTGACCACTCTGAGGGACACGTATGCTCTCACCAGGATGACCCTTTCTGATCAAAATATCATTGTTCGGGAGAGAGGTTCGAGAAATTGCTGCCCATTAAATAATTGAACACACGGGATTAAATCCTACTACCCCCGGCAGGGTTACCCTGACCGGCACGGCAGAATACGTGATCCCGGAGATCATCCAGACTATAGTACATGACAATGGTTAGTACCAGTGCAATAAATGCAGCTGGGCCTTCGGCCCATACGGATTTTTGGAATTGTTCGTGAGATAATCAGCTATTCTATGTCAGAAAATCACTTTATCGGCTATCCGGGGCGAATCATTGCGTTCCGATATGGTGAGCGCAAACGAAATTGATTCAAAGAAGCGGACCGACGAATGCGCCTTGGACTGCCGAATTCGCGCGGCTGTTAAGACAGACGACATTCTAGAAAGGTGGGCCCACAAGATGGGCAGGAGAGTACAGAACGACGTCCGTTGCCACGGTGCTCTAATACAGGACGCCATTTCTTGGCTACAGGATAAGTATCCTGAATCTGGTGCCGATCTCCAGGACAAAGAAGATGGACCCTTCCTCACTGCGTGCTGATTAGAAGGTGCCGCTGCAGCAACTGCTGCCAGAAGTATAATACAATTCTAGACGCTTCGCGTATCCCCACCAGCCCGTCCAGAAATGAGTCCCAGGGGAGTGGAGGTTATGAGGGAAGCGGGGGAGCATGCAGAAGAACAGAGGGCGGGGTGAGCCGCCATATACCCCAAGAGGGGGAGGATGTAGGAGGAGCCGTCGTCGTCGGAGTAGGAGGAGGAGAGAGGAGCAGGAGGAGGAGCAGGAGGAGGAGGAGGAGGAGGAAGATAAGGAGGAGGAGATGGAGGACTGCGAGGACGAGGAGGACGAGAAGGAGGAAAAGGAAAAGGAGGAGGAGGAGGAGGAGGAGGAGGAGGGGGAGGGGGAGGAGGGAGGAGGAAGAAAAGAGGAGGAGGAGGAGGACAATGGCGAGCTTGGGGGCCTCTTGGGCCGTCTTTGGGGCCTCTTGGCGGTCCCGGGGGCCTCTTGCGTATCTCGGGGAGCCTCTTGTGGCCTCTTGGGGGTCTCTTGGGGGCCTCTTGGAGGCTTCTTGGGGGCATCTTGGGGCCTCTTGGGGCCCTCTTGGGGCGCTCTTGGGGCGCTCTTGGGAGCCTTCGAGGCGCTCTTGGGGCCATCTTGGATGAGATCTATCCAAAAAGGGGGGGTTGCTTATTAGCCTTGCCCCTCTAGAGTGCCTCGAGTCGCCTCTTGGGCCCCCCCAAGAAGCCAAAATCCTTCCAAAACCTAAGGAAAATCAATGTTTTTTGCTTTCTCGCCTTTTCGCTCTTGGAGCCGTCTTGGGCCATCTTGGACTCTCTTGGGGCCTCTTGGGGGTCTCTTGGCAGCCTCTTGGAGGCCTCTTGGGGGCCTCTTGGGGTCTCTTGGGGCCCTCTTGGGGCGCTCTTGGGGCGCTCTTGGGAGCCTTCGGGGCGCTCTTGGGGCCATCTTGGAGGAGATCTATCAAAGAAGGGGGGGGCCTCAATTAGGCTCGCCCCTCTAGAGTGCCTCGGATCGCCTCTTGGGCCCCCCCAAGAGGCCAAAATCCTTCCAAAACCTAAGGAAAATCAATGTTTTGTGCTTTCTCGCCTTTTCGCTCTTGGAGCAGTCTTGGGCCATCTTGGGCGTCCCAACGCGTCGCGGAACGCCCCGTCCAGGTCAGTGGGGAGGGGTAAGGGGAGGGGTAAACCCCTCCCCGAAGGGAAAGAAAGGGGGTTGGCAGAGGAAACTCTCTAGACCACCTACGCCCTAAAGGGCTGGTGGGATTTATGAACGATCGTAGGAGTGATGATCCTGAACACGACGGCGAAGCCGAAATCGTGGGGCCACATGCGCCCGCTGGACCAAAGGCCAGACCTTTGTCGCGCCCGCCGCCTCTTCGACCTGGCATCTCAGACGCTCAGGTACCCGAAGCAGCTCCTGGACCCCCCCGTTCAATCGCCGGCTCAGCCGTGACGACCAGGGAGACAAACCCACAACATCCCAACTTGGGGGATCGGGCGGAATCACGCGCGCGCGCGATGCTGCCATGGATGCTGCTGCTAGCGCTTACATGGATGCCGCTGCCGGCGCTGCCATTGACGCTGCCGCAGGGGCAGCCGCGGACGCTGCCGGCAGCGATGCAGGCCACAGCTACGAGTACGACCCTGGCAGGTCCTACCCGCGTTACGTGAACGGAATCCTCGTCGGGTACTACATCCACCGTAACAGGGTCACGTGGCTTACCAACGAGGAGTGGTATACTCTGAGTTACTGGCACCAGCTATCACAATTAGGGCATGACCACCACTTCCCGCCGAGAGGGACGGCACCTATGAGCGACACTGACAGAGAAAGAGGGCGGTCTCGCACGCCTCGTGGCATGGACGTACAGACGGGAGGATCGGCGACTTCAAATCCGCCGCCTCCGGCGCCGCCCAGGCGAGAGATCGAGTGCAATCCGTGGGGGGGCCTGAACTGAGTTTCGCCCGCGTGACTCAGTCGCGGCAGGCGCATGCAAAACAATTTAACCACGCGCGGAACGCGCGTTGGGCGCGGACATCGCTACCGGTCGGCTAAGCCGGTCCAGCGGAGAGAAAATATTTATCACAATGGTGGGAAACGTCGAGCCTCTTCGGCCCTTGGCCCCCTGGCAGCCACCGTTGAGCCGCAAAAGCTTTTTCGGGTTGGCTCCGGTGGTTTGTGCAAATGTAGAGGCCGGGGGTGCTGTGGCTGGATGGGCTCTACGCGGCCCGCCGCGGGGGGAGTAAATATGCTCCTCTCCGCCTCATATTCAATTTGAACTTAACTTAGTTTGCGTGCATTGCACTGTCCGCTGGAACTGACAGCTGTGTTCCGCAGCTGTATGACTGCTCGAGCCAGCCGACTTCGGCTGGCAGGAGAGGAAAGGAGTGCGCTGGGGCGCGCGGGCGGCTCGTCGTCGTCCGTCCTCGGCCGACCTCCTCCCTTCGCATTCCTGATAGAGTAGTCTTGCTTAGCGGATGCTTGTCTTATCAATGTCTCATCCCGTCCACTCTCTCCCTGAGCAGAGTGAACATGAGATCTTAATTCCTTTGTCATCTTACCCCGATTCTCAGAGGAAAGAGTGTCAGATAACGACTCGAGAAGAAGCTGGCCACATCTGGCGGTGGGGCGCACGCTGATGCGATCTGGGCGGACACCCTGGACGATGGGGATCGGGGCGCATGCATCGGGCCGTTCTACAGGCATGAGGACGTGGCTCGGCATGTAGGAACGCCCGACTGGATCGCCACAGAGAGGTTCGGCGTGGTCCAGAAATGCAGGACTCGTGGAGTTGACAACGCCACGCTCGTGAATGAGGCAGCCTGCGCCACGGAGAAACTGCAGGTGCTCTCCACCGACCATAACCTATCTGCTCTCAAGGTGCTTCGGGCCACCGCGGGCAGGCGTCTCGCCGGCTGGGTGCTCGATGAGTCAAACGCTTACCGCCAGATCCCAGTGCTCCCAGAGCACCGCCGGTACGCCGTTGTCGTACTGTGGGGCCCCTTCAAGAGGAGGCCAGCGTATTTCGTGATGATCGGTCCATCGTTCGGGAACCTTGCTTCGGTGCACAACTACAACCGCTGGGCCTCGATCGTGACTGACATCCTCGTGAAGCTTTTCCATCTGTTCGCCTTCAACTACTACGACGACAAGTTCGGCTTCACGACGGGCGCGCTTGTATCGGAGGAGATTGCCTTGACTGCAGAGGTTCGCACTTGGCTCGGCATCGACTTTTCAGCTAGAAAGTTGCAGGCAGGGCAGGAGATCGACGTGCTGGGCGTGTCCTACGACTTCGCGAGGGAGCAGCTGCGCGTGGCCGGGGCGCGCAAGGCGGAGCTGACCTCGGCCACAGCGGACGTCCTGCGCGCCGGTGTGCTCGAGCCGGGGCCAGCGGGGAAGCTCCGCGGCAAGCTCGGCTTCGTGTCCGGTCGCTACAGAGGGCGTTTCGGCCGGAGCATCCTGCGTGCCCTTTCCGAGCGGCAGTGTGCGAAGCTGCGGCAGGTTTGGGCTCTCGGGCCAGCCTTGCAGCTCTCGCTTTCGTTCTGGCACCCTGAGGCTCCATGAGGCCAACCTAGACGACCATGCGAGATGAACCAGGAAGAGGCCACATGGTAGAAATAATGCTTCGCATAGTAGATCATCTTGCATGTTGACTCCGGTGATCATTCTATATCACGTTGATGGTATGATCATGTTAGCGGCGCTGCGCCGACGCGGTGCAAACCGCAGAAAAAAAAGGAGGGGGGATAAAGAGGAGTGAGGAGCAGGAGGCGGAACAGGAGACGGAAACGGAGGAAGGGGAAGGGAAAATGCTCAGAGAAAGCAGGAAAGCGGGCGAAAAAAAAAAACGAGGACCCCCCCCCCCCCGAGTTCGATCCACCCGTGGCGCACTGAAGCTTGTCCTCCTCCTCCTCCTCCTCCTTCTCGCCCTCCTCCTCGTCGACCCTCCCTACCCTGCTCTTCCTCCCCTCCTCTCATTTTCCTCCTTTTCCTCCTCCTCCTACTCCTGCTCCTCCCACTCTCCGCCCCTTTTCCCCATCCACTCCTCGCCCTCCTCCTTCTCCTCCTTCTCGCCCTCCCCCTCGCCGCCGTTTTCCCCCCTCCTCCTCCTTCTCTTCCTCCTCCTCCTCCTCCTTCTCCTCCTCCTCCTTCTCGCTCTCCTCCTCGTCGTCATCCTCCTCATCCTCCCCTAGCTCCTTCTCCCTCCGTGCGCTTCCCTTTCCCATCCTCTCCTCGCCTTCTCCTCACCTCCCTCCTCCTCCTCCTCCTCATCGCCCTTCCCCTCGCCGTCCCCCTCCCCGTCCTCCCCCCCCCCCTTCTCCTCCTCCCCCTCCCTGCTCGCCCCTCTCCCCCCGTCCTCGCCTTCTCCTCCCTTAGCTGCCTTGGGGCTCAGGTGAGGCAGGCCGCCCGAGGTAAATCGCCCGTGGTGATCCGCCGCCCCACAACTCGTCCTCTTTCCCCACTCCGCTCCAATCCTTTCTCCTCCTATTTCTCCACCTCCTCTTCCACTCCTCTCTCCACTCCACTCTCGACCCAGCCCTCTCCGCCACCTTGGCCCCCTCGCACGCCCGGCCGTCGCCATGAGCGAATGCATCGCGCAGGCGTTCGCGGCCTCCCTCGGTGCGCCGCCCTTCCCCTTAATTTCCCGTCGCCCTCCCCCCATCCCCTCGAGGGGGGGGAGGGAGCGAAGTGGGGTGGGGTCCCACAATTATTTCTTCGAGTTTGGGATCCGTCTCCCCCGCGCCCCTCTCCGCCTCGAGGCGGGGCGGGGAACGGGGGGGAGGGATCCTCCCGGCCAGCGTCCCAGGTCAACATCCTGGGTTCAAAGTGTCGCTCGAGAATGACGGCGGCTTCGAGAAGGTCGGCCTTCATCCTCTTATCTCTTTACCTGCCTTTTCCACCTCCCCTCCTCGCCATCCTCGATCATCCTCCAACCTCCTACTCCACCTCGACCTCGTCCTCACCCCCTTCTGATGCCACCCCCCTGCACCTAAACGTCTTCCACCTCGCATCCTCCACCTCCTCATCCTCCTCCCCCTTTCCGTTTCTCTTCCCTCCCCTCTTCATCCTCATCCTCATCTTCATCCTCAATCTCATCCTCATCCTCCTAATCCTCCTCCTCATCCTCATCCTCCTCCTCCTCCTCCTTCTCCTCCTCCTCCTTCTCCTCCTCCTCCTCCTCCTCCCCCGCTCCCACCTCCTCCCTACTCGGTCACCTATAAGACGGTGGAGAACGACACGGTATTCCAGGTCCTCCGCGGGGTTATTGCAGCGAGCGGCGGGGTCCACGCGAACCTCGCAATGATGCGCGATGGCCTCGAGAAGGCGGACGTGGATCTGGAGTACAACCTTTCAGGACCTGTACGTTTCTATCATTCCCTCCGAGCTCCTCTTCCCTCCTTCCCGTCCCTTCTCCCTTCTGTACCTTCGCGCACCTTTCCTCCCCCCTCCCCTCCTTCACTCCTCTCACTTCCCCCCCCTCCCGCCCCGCCCTTCACCCGCCTCCCGCGTGAGGGGGGCGGGAACATCGAGCCCGATGATGCCCCTCCCCATCGCAGGAGGCAAAACGGAGTCCCGCTCGCACGCGGTCGACGAGGGGGAAAAGTGGCACATGCTGTTCCCTGGTGCCCGAAATCGGGGTCGTGACCACATCTCCTCCTCGTCCTTCTCCTCCTTCCTCCCCTCCTCTTCCTCTGATCTTTCTCCCCCCCCATCCCCCCCCTTCTTCCCCCCTCTCCCTCCCCCCCCTCCTCCTCGGGACCTCGGGACTGCGGCCGTTCTCGTTTCACGGGTCTCTGCCTCCTCCTCCTCCTCCTCCTCCTCCTCCTCCTCTTCCTCCTCTTCCACTTCTACCGCCTCCTCTGCTTGCCAGCCAGGCTCGGCTTCGTCACCACTTGCTACAATTGGAACAAAGAGCGGTCCAAGGGGGCGCAGATGCAGCGGCTGAAAAATATATTGCAAGACGTCCTTGAGGTTGGAGGGCAGCCCAAACTGGATGGGAGAATGAGGAGAAGGAGGATGATGATAATGGTGCTGATGATAATAATGATGATGCCAATGCTGATGATGGCGGTGATGATGATGGCGATGATGATGACGGAGATGATGATGATGATGGAGAGGAGGAGGAGGAGGAGGAGGAGGAGGAGCAGGAGCAGGACGATGAGGATGAGGATGAGGAGGAGGACTAGGAGGATGAGGACGATGATGAGGATGAGGATGAGGAGGAGAAGGAGGAGGATAAGGAGGAGGAGGGGCGCGCCTGCCAGGCTAAAGGAGCGAACCAGAGCCCATCGAGCAAGTCGACCCCGAGCCCAGGGAGCAAGTCTTCTCGGTCCCCGGGGAGCGTGGAGAAGCTGCCGCTGGCCTGCAATGTGGAGAAGCAGTCGCTGCCCCGCAAGGATGCTGTGGCCGCAACCACTCTCGCGCCATCCTGGGGTCGGTCCACGGCAGAGGCATCATCGGATCTGATATCGTCTGGATCCGACGGCGCCTCAGCCCCTGCGGACCGAATGCCCCAGTATGACATCAGAGGGGATTCCTTGAGGCGTCGTTGGAGGAGATCCCCGAGTACCCTGGCTCCAAGCCGACTCCAAAGGTTCCCTCCATCTCCTCCTCCGCCTCATCCTCCTCCACAACTTCCTCGCGCCTTATCCTCCTCCTAGTCCTCCTCCTAGTCCTCCTCCTCCTCCACTCCCCCTCGTGCTCTTCTTTCTCCTCCCCTCCGCCGCTTCCCCCCTCCTCAACCATCTCCACCTCCACCATCCTTCTCCTCCTCCCCCTCCCGTCCTCCCTCTCCGCCTACCCCGCCCCCCACTCCCTCCACTGGGTCCTCTCGTGAAGTGTTTTTGGGGAGTCCCTCTCAAAAATACTTGAGACTCTCATGGGCCCTCTTGGGGCCCCCGTCCTCCGTCCTCCAGTTCCTCCTCCCTCTCCTGCTTCTCCCCCCGCTCCCCCTCCTCCCCCTCCCCTTCCGATAGGGGTCGCCGGCGTCCGAGAGCGAGTCCGACGACGAGGAGGTCCCGCCCGGGCGCGCGATGGGGGACTGGGACGAGAGCCAGCAAGAAGAGCGCCAGATGGTCGCGACCGAGGAGCCGCTGCACAACTCGCCCCCGCCTCCTCCTCCTCCTCCCCCTCCCCCCCCTCCTTCCCCACCCTCCTCCCCACCCGCCCCCTGCGCCCGCAGGAGGGGGGGGCGGCTGAGCAGTGCCCGCCGAAGCCCGTCGTATATTATGGCAAGCACGTGCACCCCTTTAACCCTTGGCCCATGCACCAGAAGCAGGAGTTGAGGCGAGCAATTCGCCAGGCCCGAATTGACTTCGTTGTAGATTACAAGCTCTACTTAAAGGACCCTGCGAGGGAAGCGTTGGGCGAGGCCCTCAGTTCCCTCCCCCTCCACCTCTTCCGCTAACCTTAGAAACCTAACACCTTAAAAACGCAGCCCTAAAATGCATGCATAAACTCCCCCCAGGAGAAGCATGCGGACGTCTCCGCCGGCACGCTGATCAACAAGGCCACGGGCGACTACTTCGGCGTGCAGGCACCCCCCCTCCTCTTCCTCTTCCCTCCTCCTCCTCCTCCTCCTCCTCCTGCTCCATCTCCTCCTCCTCCCCCTCCTCCTCCTCCTCCTCCCCCCCCTCCTCCTCCTCCTCCTCCCCCTCACCCCTCCTCCTCTTGATCCTCCATCTCCTCCTTCTCCTCCTCCTCCTCATCCTTCTCCTCAACCATCACTCAATATGAAAATATTCTCACTCTTCCCCTGATGGCGCGCGGGTGATATTTAGCACCCCCCGCGTACTGTTTTTTTACACGCAGGATTGGGCCGAGTTCGGTTTTCATATGTGTTTTTGACAATCCGATTGTAAACGGCCGTTCCGACGGGGGCCCCCTCTACCATTACTCAATATGAAAATACTCTCCCTCTTCCCCTGATGGCGTGCGGGGCTCCTGGGGCCCCTCCTGGGGCCTCGGCGCGCGGCCTCCTCGGCGCCGCCAGCCGCTCCACGGGCGCTCGGCTCCACGGGCGCACCGCGCCCGCGCCGCACTCGCCGTCGTCGTCGTCGTCGTCGTCGTCGTCGTCGTCGTCGTCGTCGTCGTCGTCGTCGTCGTCTGTCGTCGTCTTCGTCGTCGTCGTCGTCGTCGTGCTCTTCCTCCTAGGCGTGAGGGTCAGATGCGACGCCCGATTCGGTGAGAGGACAATGAAGTAGCGCAATGGGGAGGGATGGGAGGGAGGGGTAGGATGTCAGATGTTGACGCGAGCGCACCTCGCTTGTCCTCCTCCCCCTCTCTCCCCCCACACAACTCCGCATCCTGCAGTTCCCAACATCACTCCCCTCGGTCCATTACGACGAAGAGCCCTTCGACGCAACGCCCCCAGAGAAGCACCATGACATTTGGCGCAACTACGACATGCCCTGCGGCCGCCAGATCCCCTTCGCGGGGCCTTTCTTGCCCAGGGCCCTACCTGTCTCCAATTGGCGCGGGGGGGGGCCGCCCCCATCCCGAGTTGATCCCTTCCCTCTCTTCCCTCCACCCCTCTCGCCTCGACTCCTCCTTCTCCTCCCCCTCCTCGCCCTCCACCCCCGCCGCCTCCTGGCCCGTGCCCATCCTCCCCAGGGCGAGGAGTGGAAGGTATTCGAGCGGGCGGAGGCAGGGCTGCGCCAGGGGAGGCTCCTCTTCCCCTCGGAGGAGCTGCTGCTCCTTCGAGCAGAAAAGGTGGCCTCCTCCTGATCCTCCTCCCCCTCCTCCTCCTCCTCCTCCTCCTGCTCGCCTTCCTTCTCGTTCTCACTCCTCCTCTTTCCCCTCCCGAGGGCGTGCGGCAGAGTGGCCTTCCGAGCGGCCCCCTGGGCCCCAGCTGCTCGGCGCTGCAGCCCGAGGAAGCGCCCCGAAATATCCTTCCTCGCCCCCCGTGCAGGGGGGGGGAGCTCAGGGCTAAGAGACAGAGCCTCCCTGCTCCCCCTCTTCCTCCCCCCTCCGCCCCCCTCCCTCCTGCCCTCTCCTTCTCCCTCTTCCTTCTGGCCCTCCTACTCCCCCTCCCGGCCGAGGCCGAGGCGGCGGCAAGCGAGACCAGCAAGCCGAAGCCAGGGTCGGCCGATGGCGAGGAGCTCGAGCCGATCGATCTCCTTTCGGACGCAGAGAGCTTCGCAGCTGACGCGGAGGCTTTGACCCCGATCGGGCTCCTCGAGGCTTCGCCCATGGGCGAAGGCGCACCCCTCAGCGAGAAGGAGCTCATGGAGCTCCACAAGGCCAATGGGCCCCCGATGCCAGCCGAGCACAGGGCGGCCATGAGAGCCCCGGCGCAGAAGCGGAAGCGCCCCGCGGACGACGATGGCGAGGCAGAGAGAGAGGAGGCCGAGGAAGAGGTCGACCAGGACGAGGAGCTGGCCGACGAGCACAAGGAGCTGGCCGACGGCCAGGGGTACGACGAGGT